TCACACATTACAACTGGCATGGTTTTGAGGATGCCTTTTTGGAACACTTGTTGCTGTATCAAAGAGCGGGCATTTCTGTGTATAGATGAAAACACCTTTTCAATGCCAAGTGTTCGAAAGCTGTTGGCTCTTCACGGGGGGGCCAAGTCAGCTTTGGCTTTGCAGCCATGAGACAGGCCGTGGCATTTAAACTACTTTGAAGTTGACCTCGTTGTTCAGAATGAAACTCACTTTCTGGGAGGCCCCCACTGGCACCTTAGCAGTTACCTCAGACTTGTGAAGGTTGCAAAACTTTTGTTGTTTGCAATACTGTATCGTTTATGCTGAAGCTAAGGTGCCAGCTTGGCGACAGCAACGGAATCGTTCAGCTTCAGGTGAGAAACCTGAGTATTTGTATTCACCAACCTGTTGCAACCACATCATGTATATCCTTTTAGCTTTTCCTCTCTCGCGAGGTCTCTGGTTAGTGCTTCTTTTTGCAGCAGTTCTGGCAGGAGAGGAAACAAGGGTTTCAGGGTCACATCGTTCTTACACTGTCGGCGCTGCGTGCTTTCAAGAGTGCTGGAATTTTCGAGGCCCAGCCTTTAGTGCAGTTCGCTCTGAGATCAAACAAAAGACGGTCAATGTCGTCCTCTTGAAGGAGAAGTGATATGAGCGGGCTCATGTTCATTTTTGCTCAACCTCAATCAATGAGTTTCAAGGATCGGGCTCAACTTGGACAGAAAGGTGAGACTATTCAGGCGGGGAAGAGAGCCAAATTGAAGTCCCGGCTTCCCGAGATGCCGACCCACCTCATATAGTACTGAACACGGGACAGCAAGGGTAACCCTGTCCAAATGAAGCAGCATGGAATCAGCTTGGTGCTCACAGAACCAGCGCAAGTTTTGATGCAATCCAAATTCGCCGTTTTCTCTCAGACCAAAAGCACTCATGATGGCTTTTTTGACCCTTGTTTTTGCTTCTGGCAACAATCAGCCCGGCCTTACCCTGACTCTTAGCTGGATGTTTGATGCTTTTGTGTCCACGCCCTCGATTGAAGGTTCTCCGAGGTCGTTAAAATTGAAATAGTTGAATGACGTTCGTTGTTACTCTTCGTAGTTGTGAGTGTACGAAGATGTTGTTGCTTCGTGAAAGTTTGCTTTGCTATCCATGGAGGGATAGGGTGGTTTGGGTGGGGACAAGGTGATGGCCTCTCCTGTGATTGCTACAACGATGATGTTGCTTCTTGAATGATGATGTTCATTGCGATGTTGGTTCTTGAAGAAATACTGTACTACGTTTGTGGATAAAGTCTTGACAGTTCGTGAATTGTCTCCGATGATGACTGGTGGGGCACCGTAGGACAACTCTGTTGCAAGGCAACCTGCTGAAGATCGGCTGCTTGATATGGATTTACAGAATGCATTAAGTCAAAACAGTTGGGGCTATACTGCAAGCACGTACATGTTTGGGGTGGAAGCAGATGCGCCCAATTCAAGCTTGTGTTTGTGGTAGTGATCTAGTTTAGAGGTTATTGGAGAGGCCAAAGAGAAGAGTATAGTGTTGGCTACATGGTGGTGCTTACTCCATTCTAGCTCCCTTGCTGTGACAAGGAAAAAAGAAAGGAGAAACACAATTGAAGGCAATGGACGGTGAAATGAATTACAGGGACCAAGATAACGGTATACTGATAATAATGTTTGGGTTGTTTCATGTAATTCCAAATATCCCTGTTGTTTTCCTCCCTGCCCTTGAAGGCACTAGAGACAAAGATAAGTTATCTCCATTCAAGCTCTGTGGCATGGAGACCACAGAATCTGATGCTTGCACAAGTTCAAATATGCATGGGGTCTCTTAGGAAGCACATCCCACAAGTCTCACCAGAGTTGGAGAACAGGGGCTGCGATGCAAAAACTGCAATGTCATCCCAGCGAACAAAGGCTGTCACACCAAAGAATTTCGATAAACAGTGCTTTCAACCATGAATAAGGGGCTCCTGGCCTCGCTACTAGGAGCAAGGACGCTATTAGACCATGAATACTGAAATGCGTGATGCGCTCGCTCACAAAGACATGAGGGGCCTTCAGCCAGCTCTTCTACAACGCATTTTTAAAACTGACTGTTGGTTTAGGCAACAAGTGAGACGAGCACTTGAAGCTCTAAGCTGCTGCGAGGAAGTTTCAGAAAGAGCGCCATAAGCCAAAGACACCCCCGTACAAGCAATACGACAAGGCCTGAAACACAAAAGTTGGCTCTGCCCATATCACAACGCAGGTGGTCCGGTGTTGAAGCCACAGCGAGCATGACGCATTGGGGCCTACCTCGTTCTCTTTCTTATTCGCTACCTGGCTCATGTCCACCTTGTTTCAAGTGTGTTTCACCTCTGGCAGGTCTAAAGAACAAACTTCTGAGAATCGCAGCAGCGCTGTGTGAATGGCACTTCAGTCTATTTGCTATGATCATTATGATAAGTCCCATGAACTATGCGGCAACAGAGGAGGTGTTAAGACAGCCGATGAGGCAGTGCATTCAACCGAGCAACTGGTTAAATGCTGAGCGGGCTGCAATAACTCAGGGCAGAAGTCCAATAAGGAGTGTCGAACAAGCTCATAAGTCCTCCACAAGATGTTGCAAGACCCTCAATCCAGCAACAAAAAAACACCATTCCAGCAACAGTGAGTTGTCACGTGAGATGGAATGATGCAATGCATTGGACACCGCTGGGGTAAATGCAACATATATATATATAGAAAACATATGCATATGATGGAGCCAGCAAGCGTTCAAACACACTGGTTCACTGAACATGCGAATCTTATTCGTTCTTATCGTGTGCAATCCTTTTGTTCAAGCGTTTCCGGCACAGCCCTTGGTGACATATTTAGGGATGCCCAGCACTTTCTGTCTTACTTTGTCAAATGTTGTAGTGCCTGCAGCTAAGTATAGCTTGTGCATGTTTTTGACACGGTGCGAGGTCAAGCGAGGTTATTACCGCAACTACCTTTTCCCAGAAGGCATCGCCATCCGGGAGACTATGGCCGATTTGGGCAAGTGCCGGCCTAACTGTCATCACGCTGCATCACCATTGTTTCGTCCCAATGACTCTGACCGTGAGTTGGACTTTCCATATTCCTTTTTTCTTCAGATTCTTTTGCGCTGCAAGTTGTCATTGTCAACGGTCAACACTTTTCTTTACTGCAAATGTCCCCCAGGTTGAGCAAGGAGAAGAGGGAAAAAGAGCAAATGTCAGAAGAAGCGTTGCGTCCTGAGATGCGTTTTATGTGCATATGTTCAACTTGGACGAATTTCCAAAGTGGCCACGGAACCTAGCAGCTAGCAAATGTTTGTTCTGCTTTCAAAGGAAGAGGTTGGCCATGGAACAAAAAGACAAGATCGAATCGCACGGGACGCTCTGCTCCCAGGGGGAGGGGTGGGCCTGTAGGGCCAAGCGAAAGAACACAGTCTATTCAACATTTCTATTCATCTATTCAAGGAGATGATGTGCGCATTGGCCTGGGAGAAGGGCAATTGATCAATGTCTTTGTTTGAGGTGGGTTTTTGAGAAGAAGGTGCGTGAGGGCAGCGACAAAATTTATGGATCCCTCTCTGAGATCAATGTTGCAGAGGACCGAACGGAGACCACAAAAACGAAAGACAACAAGAGAAAGAAAAACAAAGGAAGGAAGAAAGGACAAAAGGAACTGGAAAGAAACGCCAGTTGTGTCGAAGCGAAGCATTCGGTTGCGCGAAGAAGTGCGGGAAAAACTCCATCGAGGCCAAGACCCAGTCATGCCGATGCAGTCGAGCCTGGTGGCACATTACCCGGTGTTTCTGAAAAACATAATCTTTGTTCATTCCTTTAGATTCACCAAGTAGCCGTTGGCACTTGTGTGAAGGCCCTTGATTTTGCAGGAAATTGTGAAGACCACAGCTATTCCAATTCGACGCGCCTCTCTGAGCATTCCGAAAGTATGGTGCCCAGTGAATCCAAAGAGTGCTTTTACAAAAAGAGTCAAAAGATTAGACTTGTCCATTCGAATGACTGCTACACAGCATCCCGTGAGCCCCAGAAGAGGAAGATCGGTCTCTCCTGTCCAACACGCAGATGGACTCACAAGGTGACTACCTTGGGAGACTTCAAGGGCACCGTTGAACTTGCTGCTGGAATCACTGCCACCCTTCCAATCAAGGTGAGTAAGCGGTGAAGCAAGTCTTTCAAGCAGTCTTTCTCATTCTTTCTTCACTTTTACTCAATGCCGTGTAAGCTTGCTCTCAGAAGGTGGTGAAGCAAGGTGCTACAGATGAGGAAGCAGAGGTCATTTGGCACAGTTTGGTAATTAGGCCTTCCAGATCAGCTGCACAGTTTCTCAGCGCAAAGAAAGTGCAATGCAGAACCTTTGACTTTGAGAAAACAGTGATTTGCAGGAAACCTCCGAGTGAGCAACACGATCAGCGCTTGTCACCCAGTGGAACTCAATGAATGCACCGAAGATTCTACTTAGACTTAGTCCTGCTCCTGCTCCTTGTCCTTCCATGAATCATGCTCCTCGTCGATATAATGATATATAACACAGTCGCTGCTCTTGTAGCCCCTTCTCTGCAACCACCAGCGCCAACCTTTATCAAGAAAAAAGAGGTCTTCCCGCAAGTGAAAAGGATTGAAAAGGTATATTCGAGGAGTTTTTCCTGCAAGTCTCTGCAAATCACAGAGTCTTTTCAACTTTGACATGTGGCAGCGATGGCATCCAAGGACGTCGGCGCGCGACGATCGCCCTTGGTCAAAAAAATAAGTTGCGTGGACTTGACCTGGCAAACAGAGAGCCCGGTTTCATTTTTGAGACTTTTGTTGTATTTGATTCGATCTGGCAAACTAGTGTATGTCACGTGCCATTTGTACAAAGAGGCTCAAGTTATTTGCTGCGTTTAGTGTAATTCACATCATGATTCTGTTACTTGCGTTTTGGACAGTGAGTTGTGTCAAGCCGTTGAAGCTTTCTAAGTCTCTGAAGTGCTTTTCATGATTCGAGTCAATACTTGAGAGAACCACAAGGCCACTCGTGCCATGGATGCCGAATGCTCGCAGATTGAGGTCTGCATAGCCTTATGCTCGTGCTATGCATTGATACAAAGCATCAGTTTAGCAAAAGCAAGACTAATTCATCCAGTGGCCAGCGCTAGAACTCAAGGTTTGAACTTGAATCGTGTGCAGGTCTTTGATAGCAGATTTAACTTATATAAACTGTTATTAGGGGTGGACCCTGTGCGCTTGTTCTGAGTATCCTTTTTGTCAAGCCTATCCCAAGGTCGGTCGCCTGTCGGTTTAGGTTCCCGCAGCCTTAGCTGCTGAACTGAGCCAATGGCGTCGAGAGGTTGGAAGAACATGACCATGAACCACCGGACTCTATTGTTAGTAAAGAAATGTAAAGAATCTCCGTGTGCATCAAGCATGGCATTAGTTTGGCATAATTTGCCTCAAAGTTTCCTTACAGAACATATCCATCCATGCTGTAGGTTTGTGTTGGCTGTGGCGCTAGTGCCATGTTCTATTGCCCGTATTGTTGTTGGGGCCTGAGAGGTCTGGAAGCGGGTGGGCAATGTAGAAGTGAGGGCATTCAAAGCAAAAGAAGCCACTAGGAGCAAGAACATCGCTACTAGTAACAAAGGGCATTACTACTAGTAGCATTCTTGCTACTAGTAATAAGAAGCTACTAGGAGCAAGAAGCCAACCTTGTACTCTCTGTGCACTTTGTGCACCACTTGAGGCATGCCGCTGGGAGTTCCAGAAGGTGTCACTGTTCCAAGGGTCAGGCGGGAGCCAACATCTTTCTGATATTTTTTGGTCAATTTCCGACCGGTCAGCAAGACACTAGGCATAGACAAGATAGAACACATAGATCGTAGTTGCAGTCGAGCACCTTGCACGCTTGTAGGTTGCCCTTTGCACGCTGCGACATCATTTTTGATGATGCGCCGAAGAAGGCCACGAGCATCCATGCCAAAGTGCTTGCGCCAGAGCAAGCCAGGTCCTCAGGCGTAAGCGGCTTCTCTTCAATCCCCAAAGGATGTTCACACAGTTTTCCAGGGTTCCAGGCCTACTGTAAGTGAACTCATTGCGGGCAGAGTCTGAGTTTTGGAGTTGCCCCTTTTCACACTAACAGCCTCGCTCCACTTGGACCAAGCTTCAATTTTGAGATCCAGAGCTTCCCACCAAATCCTATCATAAATCTGCATAGAGACGGTACTGCAAGCAGGGTCACAAGGGTCACAAGGAACTTCCATTTCAACCTTGCGAACGCTGGCTGTTGCTCAAGACTTGCTTGGGCAAATTGAGCTGTGACTTTCCGAAAGTTGACCCCAGGTCTGAACGGCTTCCCAAGGCATAGCTACTAGCGATGGCCTCCACCCTAATAATTAGCTCTCCAAAGTCGCTTCCCAAGGCATGTAACGAGTTTGGTCGGTACCCATTGTCAGCACTTGCAGAACCTTTGCACATCTCTCAGCGCCGCATGCAGGAGGTTTGCCGAAGGTTCATTTCAAACAGCTGTGGGTCGTTTGCCTAAACTCGTGATTGTAGGCCCCCATGTAGGTTGGAGGCCATTGCTATTAGGTTGGAGGGCAGAGCGGCCTTTGGAAAGGAGGTTCAGGCAGAAAGTGTAAGTCACCCAAGTCGAATCTTCTGGAGTGTCAGCTCTAAGACGCCTTCATGGGCGAAACCCTTCACGAGGTCCTCAGTGAAGTCCTTTTGCGTGCCCTTCATGCCACCCTCCGCCTTTTCTGCCACAAACAGCGCCATCAGTTCACAGCGCCAGAGCAGCGTCACAGCGCCAGTTTCGGACTGGGTTTGAACGCCGATTTTCAATCTTTTCAACGTATTGAAACTTTTTCACGCGTTTGGAAGCTTGATGATAGTTTTTGAAGCTTTTGCACCACTTTTACCACAGGTCCGCTTGATTGACCTTTTCACGGCAGAGGGCAACTCAAACCGGACGTTGAGCCGTCCTGGAGGGAGCGCGAAAGCTACAGGAGCCGGAGCCTCACGAAGATCATCAAACAATGAAGCATTGTGATTCAATCAAGAGTCTCAGTTAAGAAACACACCAAAGAAGCAGCCTTCCTTGAACACCAGAAGGTTTGCCTGATGTACAAAATGGGTCATTGACCAAATGTCTCAAGTCAGTCTTGCTCACCCTCCAACATGTCCCAGCATAGTGGTTGTGCTTATCTTCATTTATCTCATCCACCACATTGTCCGTGATCCCAGCTGAACTCACTCATCCAGGCAGTCCTTGTGACAGGTGTGTAATTCAGTTCTTGTGCATGTCAAGTGGCTTGCACATGGGGCTAGACTGACCTCCCACCTGTCGAACTTCCGTTGCTATAGCTTGGCTGACTTGCAAAATGGCCGAACACTCAAAGTTCCTCGACCAACGAAATTTACTTAGAGGCGGCGATGCCAAGGAAATCATAAGTATCACTCTGAGGTGTTTGAGGTGTTCGAGGTGAAGCCATCAAGACTTTGCAGCATACCTGACCAGAAGCAACATGACAACTATCCAGTCTCATCTAAGCCCTCACCTTTACCATCTTTTACCCAAAGGTTTTTCTGTCATGAACAATATATAGTCCAATTGTAGGAGGCAAACTTTTACTTCAGGAATGTAGGTCCTTCTGATTGTAAGTCACATGAGTCCCGCTTTAGGTTGGATGCATGTGTAGTGCTTTTCATTTCTAAGGCCGAATGTGGCAATGAGCACCCGGGATCAGGCGAAGCTTTTTGGTAGTGTGAAGGTTGTGTACTAGTTTGGCTACATCAAGAAGAGCAGCTTGATTCTTCTACTGTTTTGCAGCAGTTGGCTTCTTTCTCGTGCTTAAACGATTCATTCACGTGTTGAGGCGAAGCAGACAAGTCATCCGTGCTTCGAGAAATCCCGGAGTGGCCGTTCTGCAAGGAGGACTTTTCTGTGTTCTTCGACTGCGCAAACTTTGAACTTTGTCGAACATGTGCAAATACACGCGAGACTGGACGCCCAGTTGCGGATCAGGTATGATCCACAAATCACCCTTGTGCTTTTTCCTGCTGGGAACTCGGCCACACACGTTGCCTGTGCTAAGAGGCTCTATATCTTGATCAGATCGAACACGTGATGCAACTTGAAACCAAAGAGTTAGTTAGTTTCCCAAGGAACCTCTGCTGCATCCTTACATTGACATGTAGTAGCAGCCGAACTTGCTACTAGCTTCTTACCAGCGACCTACTTTCCCCCTTAGATGCATGTCATATACATACAGTAAACGAGCGTATCAATATAGGAACATGAACGAAAGGTAACGCTGCACCCTTTTAACGTCTTTAAACGCTGCAGACATGAATCACTGCAAGGACGATTCCAGTGCGACCTTTGAAGAGGCTTGGTGTCAACGGTGCGTCCTGTGGGCACTCGAAAACAAAAACATGTCTGCGCTGCCTGCGCTTTCTTCTTTTCTCTTTGTCTCTTCCTCTTTCTTCCTCTTTCTTCCTTTTTCTTCTTTCTTCTTGTCCTTTCCCTTGTAGACATATTTTTTTCCTTCCTTCATACTTTGTGTTCGCTTTGTGCTCTCCCGCACTTTGTGCGGTGGAAGACGTTAACTCCAAGGTTGTTTCCCAGAATGGCTTGGGACCGCCTGAGCATTTGACTCTGGTGGGGGCCTGGCCATTGTGCATTGTGCATTGTTGTACCAGCAAAGTCTTGTCAGTCGCAACCGGAGTTGTTCTTGAGCTTCACGTCCAAAAAACTCAGTCATAGGCCATGATGACCATGCATATCCATCGTGTATTGTGGTGGGTCATGTGCATTTGTTTCAAAAGCCAATGCCTTTGGTCTTTTTGGTCTTTGGTTCTCGAACGAGTTCTCTCCTTGTGCTTTGCCTTTGAACCTGTCCGAAGACTCGCGACTAGGTTGTCATCGATTCCCCATGGAAAAGAGCGCAGGTGCGGCGGCACGTCCTAAAGACCAAAGGCATTGTCTTTTTGAAGTTGTGGAAGTTCAGGTGCTTCGAAAGCACCCGCGACTGGCAAATCTTCAATCCGCCGACACCCCAGCACCTTGGACAAAAGCACTGGCTGTCAAATGTCGCAGTCCTCCAGATCCGTCTCGGACATCCACCACCCTCACGATTCTGGCGGTATCATTCTGAGGGAACAGGCAGGGCTTGGAAGGATGTCGCACAAATGAAGTCCTGACAGAGAGCAAGCAGTCCTGATATGCACACAAAGGACACATTTTTCATAGGGTTGCAGTGTTGGACTTGTATTTTCGCCGAGGCTGCGTCTCAACTGTGGAGGTGATGATTGTCATGCTGCTAGTGCATGATGACGGAGTAGACATGCCAGGCCTTGGCCGCTCTTGCCAAAGAAGTTCTTCCCTTCAAAGGAGGGATGAAGAGCGCTGCGGTCAGAAGCCTAACTGACATGCCTAAGGATTCCTGAGAAGCTCTCCTTTTTATTTCATGATCATCAGAAACATCCTGAGCTGTTCTGAGACGACATTGGCGGTGTCATTTTCATATCGACTCCGGTTGCACATTCTGCATGCCACTGGAAGTACTCGCGCCTTGAGCAAATCTAAGGAGATGCCTGGTCTAGCTTGTGCCCAAGATGTTGAAAGTTAAGTTGCCCTAAAAATCTAGGAACCAAATCAAGAAGAAGCGTGAGCTATCCTGCGTCCATGCTAGTAGTGTACTAGTAAGGTACTAGCTACCTCCTCTACTAGCTACCTCTAGATAACCTACGTCACCTCTGCATAGCCTAAAAGAAAAAACATGCATGGCCTGTTAGTATTTCGGTCGCTTGAATTGAAGGACCCACTGATGAACGACCCTTTCCTTTTCTTTTTCGCTGGGCCCACAGAGCAAGAATGAGCAATGATGGCAAGGAGACTCCAAGAACTCTGCTTCCAAGCGCCAGCAAATATGGCAAGGTTCGACAGTTTGCTTACATTGCGGAGAGACACCTTTCAGGCCACTGCATTCCTTTTTTTGAATGCCAGCATTTTTCTCCACTAAGAACCATTGCAGTAAAATATGGTAGAGTATGTGGAGTTTATGGGATATGCCTTAGACATTGAAGCATTGTCACGCCTCACGTTTCCTCAAAGTCTGGAAGTCTGAGGCGCTGAGCGCCCGATGGATGCTTCAGCAAAGCAACGGCGCATGGAGCAGGCGAACCGATAGTCGCCCGTGCCAGTTGTTTTGAGAGACAGCGTGGGCATGGCCTATCGATTCTTTAAGTTGGACACATATTTAGGCAGGGGTTCATTTGACTCTACTCTATGTGAGAATCCTGATGTCACACCAGTCACGACATGAGTCCATGCTTTCGCTCGCTGCTTCACGACCCAAACCAACCTTGGGCACAGGGCCCTTGAGCTGTCTGGCAAAACAAGTGTCAGCGGATGCTTTTGGCGGTGTCACAACTGCCATTTGTTGAAACTGGCAGCGGAGCAATATGCTCACGTGCACCCCACGGTTTCTGCCAGGCCGTGTTTTCCGCCCTCACGCGTGGGATTGCCATGGCTTTGGATTCGCTGAGGTACGGAGTCTTCAAGCCTCAGTGGGTCGGTGCAGACCCAAAGGCGCTACCGGGCTTCGGTGGCGAAGTGGCGAGCTGGCCGGACTACAAGTTCTCGGTGCAGGCCTTGGAGAAGAAGGAGCAGGCGCTGTCAGACACCGAGAAGAAGAAGGAGAAGAAGAAGGAGAAGAAGAAGAAGCTTAAGCTTAAGCTTGGCCTGTTGGGGCTACGCCTGGTCGACAGGCTGGCGGGGCCGGCGTTGCAAGTCGCAAAGCAACTGGGAGTTGATCGACTTGCTGAGGCCGACGGAGCCAAGGAGCTGTTGTCCGAGCTGGAGAAACACTTGCTGCCTGTGAGGAAGCAGGCCGCGATGGAGCTCTACCAGGCTGGAACCAAGGATGGCGTTGGCATCCTGTCAAGCCAATATGGAGAGCCGATGAGCAGCTACTGCCTACGTCGGGAAGCTTGGTGGACCCAATTGCAGGAGATGGACTCCGGCATCCAGTGCAGCGATGCCATACTTGGTGGACAGCTGCTTCAACACTGTCACAGTGGGTTGAGCCGCATTGAAATGCAGATGATCAGGACTGTCTGCAACAACGGCTTGTCGGACACGGCGAAGCTCAACAATGCGCTACGGGAGCAGTTTGGCCAGGTGCATGAGAAGGAGTCGAAAGGCAGCGGAAAAGGAAAGGGCTATGGCCAGTTTGAGGGACGCGACAATGGACGCTATGAGAGTCCATCAAAGATCTGCAACCACCGCTCGAGCTACATGGTTGAGGAGCCCGAGATTGAAGAGGAAGTTGCATGGGTTCTTGGAACAGGCCATCGACACTCAGGTCTGTAGCGCTGAAGATCTGGACATGATGATTGATGAAGTGGAGACCGAGTTGGCGGTCTACTACACGAGGGCCCACCCCATCTGTCCGTCGAAGAGATCAAAAGGCAAGGGCAAGAAAGGCGGCTGTGGGGGAAAGGTGAAGTTCACGATCTTCATCCTCGAAAGGATCAAAGAAAGGAGAAAAGCCATGAGTGGTCTATTTCTCTGTGGGTCTCGAGACCACGAACCAGGACGCCTTCTCCGGTGAGGCTCAGAAGTCTATGGAGGCGCTTGACAACCTCCTCATGTCAGGTCAGGATGATGCCACCAAAGACGTTTTCTCCGCTGAGAATGAGAGTGAGCCCCAGCAATTGCGGGCGGCCTTGAAGAGTGCTGAAGGATTTGAGTCAAGTGGAGAAATCAGAGGAGGCCAATTTCACCAAGGCCCAGGAGCTTCTGCAACAGATTCACTGATTGTGCAAGTTGTGGTATGATCCAAACAATGTCGCTGCCCCTCTACATTGGCAACTTCACCTGATGTGTGCCATGGCAAATACTAGATCAGACTAGGTTTTCTTCACAGTTGACAATTCAAGTCAGCCCATTTGTTCAATTTGTTTATGTTTTAATCCACATTCAATGTACCTTCAGAGCCTTTGTGATGTCGCTCACTTTACACCACCTACACTGTTGCTTACTTACACTGTTAAACTGTAAACTGTTAAACCGGTTGTTGGAAGGTCCCTTTTTTTGGTGTTGAATTCAATTTGCAATCCTCCAGGCGAGCTTCGACAAACCGTTGTGAACACCGATGTGGCCTTGTCTTGGTGCCTGAAGTGCTCCGACCACATTTCAGTGCTCACCCCAGGCATTCAGAAGCTTGTGAAAAATGAGGATGGCAAGAGTGACACTGAAAAGCTTCAGCGGACGTTGGCCATGACTGCACACCTTTGGTCCAAGCTTGCATATCACAAGCAAGTGCCCGAGGAAAAGTCTGAGGTCGCCTTTCTCCTTGTGACCAAAGTTCAAGAGCTTGAAAGTCGCTTGGGCAAGGTGCTTGATTGTGAAGGGAAGGGGTTCTTGATGGCAGCCTTGAGAGCATGCTTCAATGAAGAGGCCAACTGCTCTGATGCTCTTGACCGTTTGCATTCACTTCGACAGATGTGTCAAGATGGCCCCCCCGCCCTACAAGCATGTTTCAGGACAGTGTCTGCTGCATCTCAGATTGCCCAGGACAAGAGTGTGTTTACTGTGAGATTGTCCAGCTGATGCCCCAGGAGGTTCAGGACAAGTGTCGGAAAATCCAGGCAAAGGTGAGCACACAGTTGACTGGTCTCACTGACGATTTGAACACGGAGATTCAGCAATTCCAAACTTTGGGTAGCACTTTGGAATGAGTTTGAACAGTACTGTCATTTGTTACTTGTCACTTATCTTTCTTTTGGATTCTGGATTTGGGACAAAGTCATGACAAAGTCCTGGCCCTAAGCTGAAACCCAGCGCGCTTAAAACCTGTCCTTTGAGAGTGGCTTGTGGGTGATGATTTCCTGAGCTTCAGGCCAGTCGTGGAGTGTGCTGAGAAGTGGCAAATGGAGCCTGTTCTTTGGATGTTTGATGGCAGCCATGCAGACGTTGACAGTGATTGCAAGTTGATTGTGGAGCTCCGCACCACCCTACATGAGAAGACAAAACTCATGGCCAAGGTCATTGCTCATTGTGATGGTGGTGATGACAATGCAGTCTTGGACGCTCAACAGCAGAGAGGCCTGGAGATGGAGGTGCAACGCCTTGTGATGTTGTCACCGGACGAGATCGACAGGCGGTTGAGGACCGAGCTGGACTACATGCCGCCTACATCAAAGGCTATGACCTCGGGACCACCTCATGAGCTACCGCAAGGACCAGCGTTCGAGACGCCAGCGCGGGGAGCATTTGCGAAGAGCCTGCCGGTGCCACCATTGCCGGGTGGAACAGGGACCAACAAGATGGGACATGAGAGTTCAGCTTCACCGCCTATGTCAATATGGAGACATGTCTGGATTGTGGTGTGGTGCTGAGGAAGGAGCCCAAGCCAAAGACCGGATACAGGACCATGCAGATCCCATCAGCGGAGTGCGATCACGCGCAAGTGACTTGGAAGGGAAGCAACGGATATGTCTGGAAGTGGACATGTGAGCCTTGCGGCCAAAGAGAGACTGTCAGAATGCAGGTCTGTCCAGGAAAACCTGCGCCGAGAGGCTTTGCGTTGCGAGATGGAGCCGTAGCCAAGAGGACTGGGATCAAGCTTGATCCATACGTCATTTGGGCACTCATGGGACCATGAATCAAAGGTTTTCCGTCCTTGTGCTTGGGGACTTTGGGACTGGCAGTGACGGAGGCCATCAGACCAATTCCCAGCTGGACACCTTCAGCAATCGCCTGGAGGACGGTGGTAAGACTCTTGCTGTCGAAGCGCTCGATGACATGCGCAATGCAGGAATGGTTTCGAAGAAATTCATGCTCCAGGAACGCGGCCATCAGCCAAATGGTGATGTGTCCTTCAACTTGCGCCTGCGACAACAAGCCTGCAAATCAGATTGCTGAGCAAATCGAGCCGCGAAACGGTGAGGTGGAGCACGACGTTTGCATCTAGCAATAGACATGTTGGCGTTGAAGCAAGAGTTGTGGCGAGATGCTGGTCGACGTGAACGCACGTCCACAGTCCACACATGCCGGTGGAAGCCACCAACCAGCTTTGGTGGGTTTGCGCCAAAGACATGATCTCTGATGAGCTCACGAAATCCATGCGTTGGGACTTGGTGCGAGAATTGGTGCAGTTTTGTCGCTTTCACGTTTCGGTGAAACCGATTCGCGCCGGCTTTGTGGCGAGCGACGGGCTCAGTCCAGAAGACTTTCAGGGGCGAGAGAATCATGATGTCACACCAGTCCCGACATGAGTCCATGCTTTCGCTCGCTGCTTCACGACCGAAACCAACCTTGGGTACAGGGCCCTTGAGCTGTCTGGCAAAACAAGTGTCAGCGGATGTTTTTGGCGGTGTCGCAACTGCCACTTGTTGAAACTCTATCATATTGTTTCGCGTTGTATGTGCGCAATTATAAGTGTACCTTTATGTACACTTTAAGTTCAACCCTCTTGAACTTGTAAATTTACAGGGTGAAACTTAATTCCAATAATGCCTGCAATTCGTTGTTGCCTGTATACCCTTCCTCTCTATGCCTTTCCTGTTAACTTTTCCTCTATGAAATGGGGGGACGACCCCCAATATAAAACAAAATATGGGCGACCGCATTTTCTAGAGGAGAGGTGATTTCATAGAGAGTGTTGCGTTACCGTGTAAGTTTTTGATATGAAAAAGAGATCAAGCAAGACCCCCCCTGGAAAGTTAATGGCTAGAAATGTTTGGCTTTGTGTCATCTATGTTACCTGCTACTATTTCCTACTTTCTGTTACTCATGATCCCCGCTCTGCACTTGCGTCATTTGTATCATCCGATCCATAAAAGACGCACACACACACACACACTTCATGTCCTATGCCCTGCACTCCCAGATCATTATAGTACAACACCTCCAGATCAAATGATGAAATACATTGCATTTTCCCTGTGTTTTGTTTTTTTGTTCCCGCACCACCGCATCCTCTCCAGACACACCGCACAATGCCGGAAATGCAGTTTTTTCCAAATGAACAAAAATCATACCCCTCAGCACCTTCGGCGCGGGTGGTGGAGGGATCGAACAAAATGGCACAACAGTGGGGACTTAGTTATGTACTTTAAGTTGATCTCTTGGAAGACCATGTGTGGCTGCTATATAAGTGGCTGCTACAATGTGGTGAAAGGACTTAGAGCTAAGTCAGGCTAAGATATGCTAGCTTCTTCATTACCATGGACATGATTCTGTTCAGTCTACTTTGTCTTATGCTAGCTTAGTTCTTTTCTACTAATTCTTGTTTTCATTGCTAGGTTGTGCCATGTCTACTCATGACATGTGGCTACTATTCTGGTGCCCTGTTAACTTGTTACCTGCTAGCCTTTATACTTTTCTCAAAGTTTCTTGTTGTCACTGGTGTTTTGTTTTGTTTTGGTTGTGCTTTGCTGTCCCCATTTTACGGTGTCACTTGTTTATTATTGGTGGTTGGTTTGCTTTTGCTGCTGCCCTAGTTACTTTGTGATGTGGTTTACTACTCTTACCTATTGCCTTAGCTTTACTTAGGAGAAAATAGCTAAACTTAGTTTTTCATAGCTTTATCTAGTTTTGCAAAGTATATCTTAGTTTTTGACTTGGGGCTATTTAGGGCTATACTTGGCTGCAACAATCAAAGCAGACACTTATATAGCGATACCATAAGTGCATCAATGATGATCGAACTATTACTTTTCGGGTGTCGGCGACGTCGCCGCTGTGCTAGCCACTTGTTGCCATCGGACGTTCAACCGTGCACGATGTGCCAAATGCCGTCCCAGGTCATAAACAATGTGAAAACTTAGAACGAATTACACTGTTGGAAAAGGCTGCAGTCTCTGTTCAGGAGCTAGGACTTCCAACTTGAACTTGGTGCCAAGGACTGTGCTTTGGAAAGCATCAGGTGGTTGTTCCAATCACCCATGAGGACATATGGGTGCTTGGTGTGCTGGAGTAGGGCCAGAATACGGCTCAGAAGCTGGCCCTGGCCTGCCAGAGGAAGGCAACATAGCCGCATCCCTCGATGTGGTAGTGCTCAATCACGGAGATGCCAGCAGTGACGTCATGGACAGCCAAGATGCCTCCATGAGTGCTGCTCGTCATTGTGCGCTGCAAGAAATCCAAATGCATGGCGGCCCTTGATGGTCAATTACTGGCAGGTTGTGCAGTGCTGCTGCTAGTTCAGACGGGTTCAACAAAGACATAGAGCACTGGCGTGAATGGTGCCCCAAACTCACCGCTCTGTTTGCAGCCAGCTTGGTGCTTGAAGCTTGAACGTAAAGCTGCCCGTTGACAATGCAGTCTCCTTTGCCAGTCGCCATTCCCAAGCAGAGCTTCAGGAAGAAGAGGGCAGGCGCAAATCAATCTCTTTCAAGATCAGTCGCTAAAACGCGGCCCATCCTCGAACAGCGCCCATCATTTTTGAGGCTCCAAATCTGAACAGCTCTCATTTCAACCAAGTGCAAGTCCAATTCCTTGTTTAATGGAGTGTCCTCCAAAAGGCCCTGTGCTCGACCCTTCCTTCATCCTCGAATAGCAGCCGTTGTTATCTCTTTTGACCATGTTCCATGAGTATTTGGGTCCTTTCAGTTTCCACTTGAGCCTCATGTCCTTCAAAATCTCTGTTTGGACTCTGACTCTCGATGCTTTAGGCCGCAGACATTTTTAATGTGCCTCACTGACACTTGACAGCTCTATTTGCGGACCTACGGTCGATCACAACTGACAACACTTTTTTATTACCACCCGGTGACCACCCGGTCACCGCGTCCAGGAAACCCTGATAAACCCTGTCACCTTGTTTTGCCCTCAAAAAAGGGCACTGTTTCTGCGAAAGTTCTTCAGCTTCCTTGAAGAATCTGCCGCCAGAACCATAACCACAAAAGCAGAAGGAAAAAACAAGACAGGAACATCAACCTAAGAGCAATTGCCTCCAACCTACCACAACCATAACCAGATTGAAGAATCTTTAGTTTCCGAAATCATAGTTTATTATTGTTGTTTTTTCTTGAAATCATGTTTGATTCGTTCGTGCAGTATGGTAGCCTGATGACATAATGCTGATAATTCTCTTTAGATTTGTGTACAATCTGCGACGCGTTGTCGTTTTTTGATTGATAGATGGGCCAAGTCATGGACCTCAAGTGATCTCCCCAAGGTACGGCAGAAGGATCGCTCCAAGCGGCCCAAGCTCCGACCATTTGGTCCCTGCGAGGGAACTTGATGTGGGCAGTTTCATGTGATGTTCGGCATCTCGCTATTCGAGTTTCGCTTCTTTATTAATATAGCTTCTTGTTACTGCTAGTAAGGCACTTGTTACTAGAAGCGATGCACTTGTTCCTAGTAGCTTATTGTTTCTAAAATTATTTTTATTTATATATTTCTTTTTTTCTGGGGCAATTTTCGTCAATTATATATTTTTCTCACCATTGTCACCGCATCACCATTCTTGCGCCGCCCAGGCTTGGCGATTGTTCAATTTTCTTGCAGTGTTGTCATTGTAGTCGCATTTTTTAATTTAGGAGGGTGGACGGTGCGAGACAAGGTCAAGCATGGATCGAAATGCGACATCACTTTCTTCTACAACACCCTTTTTCATTTGGCGTTCTTCCTACATCATCTTTGTCTTCGTGCAACCAACCTTGGCATTTTTCCTTTCAACCCATGCTTTGCTCAACAAGTCAGAACAATGACTTCGTCAAATGTGCAGGGAAGGGCCATGATGGCCATGAAAGGGAGGGAACAAAACAACATTTACACCAACATAGAAAACATATGAGCAACTACCAAAACCTCCGATGAAGGCAGCATCACTACAGTGAAGACTAAGTAAGTAAAGTGAAGGAAACCTTCAGGAATGATAAGGTTCACAAAAAAACGATAAGGTTTTAGTACATGTTCTCAGGTGTGTCCAAACCATCAGGAACGAGTTTTGCACGTTGCTCATATGAACACATATTGCCCAGATAGCGTTTTCAAGTAAGAAAACTTACGAGGAATATTTATGCGGTCGCTTGGTCGCTTTCGCAGAGTGATCAGAATGAATATTTACACTCTGCGAAACCAGCATTAGACCCCAAACAGTTTTTAAGTGCTTGAATTTCAGGTCAGGAAACGGACCCATCTAGACAAGGCCAGGGACAGGGCCGAGACAAGTGCACAAGGCAGCAAGGCAAGACGGAAGCGTGCCCCACCGGGCAAACATGGCTTCGGACAACAGGGCCTGGTTTTGTGAGACGCAATGACCCCTGTAGTTTCCAGCTACCTGGGGAACAAAGAGGCATTGTATGGCATTGAGAGCATAGTGAGCATTTGTGAGCCCTTGTTGTGCGTAGACGTGTGGGGGACACGTTGCGCATGAAAACGGTAGGTGTCTCAGACACCAGACGTAGGTGTCTCAGATGCATTTGTTGGACAGGCAAAGAACCAGCACAGGGAGGCCCAAAGCGGAGATGCGAAAAGTCGAGTGTGCATTCTTTTAGAGACTTGGGAACGGTTTGTTGAGACTCCATCCAGCATCGCATTCTTGGAACAGAGATTGCATGGGCTGTCCATGAGATGTGTCTCTACCTCTCAAGCTGTAAGCTGTTTGACATCAGTGGAGTGTCTTTTTTCCCTTTTCACCGCAGCGCTGCAGGCTGTAGATTTCAGATGCTGCGTTGGAGAGTTTTGCCATGTCATGTAATCTCAATTTTTTTCGACATAATGAATCAAGACTCCAACAATATATCCTTTCATTGCTACTAGAGTTACTAGGGTGGAGGCCATCGCTATTTGGTCGGAGGCCATCGCTTTTAGGTTGGAGGCCATCGCTATTAGAAACAAAGAAAAAGGAAAAGAAAGAATTCAAGCCTTTTGTTTAATCGTTTGATGTTTTCGGATTGCATCTTGGAACTGCTAAACTAGACATGGAGGATGCCATGGCACGCGCAGCCAGCAAGGATGGCGTGGGGTCAGCGTCTCACACTTTTGTTTCAATGGCAGACTTTCAGTCAAACTGAACGCAGTCCACGAACACCTTCCTGGCAAGAAATCTGGCGGCAGGTTAAACATCGGAATAGGCCATGTTTAGGATTCCTCCGCAGGCTAATTTTAGGCTGCGCCGCCGACAGCTGCTTTGGGGAATTTGCCGATTGTGATATTGGTGGTAGCGCGGCCATGAGCATGATTGCAGTCTGCACAGACAAGCACGAGAAGGGCACTAGTTTGACTGTGTGTTTCTTTGAGGCTTTGCTGATTCTTGTTTGATCTTGTTTGTGCTATTTAGTGCGAAACCTTTTTGTATAACTACTTACTAGGGTCCAAATGGACCCAACCTCAAAGAAGCTAAGTTTCCCTAAGAATGTAGGAGCCAAATCATTAGTGCGTGAACCATACTGCATCCTACCAGCTACCTAGCTACCTCTTTCTCTTCTAGCGGCCTAGCCCCCCTCCCCCGGGCTTTAGGAAGAAAGCTAGTAGTAACAAGTGCATCGCTAGTAGTAACACGTGCCTTACTACTAGTAACAATGTTTGCTATTAGAAACAAGTGCCTTGAACTGTTTGTTCAACCTCGAGAGTAGTCGCGACGGCGGCGCAACGATCTTGGAGCCGACCGCATTCTGCAAAGGCATATACCAGGCATATACCAGGTTACCAGGAACGTGGTATGTATACAAAGACATAGCACCCGGAGGTTTTGGTCCGTTGTGTTATCCCGATGCTGGCAACTTCTTCAGCTCGGTTCAGCGTGGACATTTCTAGGCACAGCAAAAAAACGAAAAACAATCTGCTTTGCAACAAGAGATTTCAAAAGAAAGAATCCCAGATACAGTATGCATGGAGTCATAGTGTGTCGAATGGTCACACAAAAGCGGGGCTCGTTTGATTTCTTTTGCTGTTGTTTTGTTTCTATTCATACTTACAGTCGATCTGCGATTGAAGCCTGAACAGTCAACGCGCCTTAGCCTTGCGTGAGTTGGTACAATCAAAGCTATTGTTAGTTCGAAACCACAGTCTTGGTTCTCAACGTGCTTGCTGTCTAGCGCAAAGGCACAACGTCATGGTTCTCTGATACCTTTCCATTTTCTGAGCTTTAATGGTGCCAAGTGCCAAGCTCAGTTTTTGGCACGGTCTTGGTGCTGTCTCTCCTTGTCTTCAGTTTTTTGTTTGATTTCGTTGCTGAGGTCCCGCACAACCCCATCAAGTCCGTTCTTGGAGGCTGGCACATGCCACACTTTATGGAATGACAACCCACTGATTTTGTCTTCACTGTTAGCTCTGCTTAGCAAGCGTATGCTTGCTGCGAATGGATGCCTTGCCAATGCACGTGTGATCCATCCTGCAGTCCTTTACTCATCAAGTAGTTTGTGCAATGCGATGCCCGTCAATGTGCGGAATGCTCTCTTGTCAATAGCCGTTTCTCCTTTACAAGCCATCAGAGATGAAACCTTCATATACTACGCAAATGTACCTTGGCATTGCAATTGCGGCATATTGCTTTTTGCAGCAGGTGCCTGTTTTCATCTTGGAAGCATTGTTGTTGCAGGATGCAGCTGAGTGCATAGTGGCTGATAGGGTGACCGAGCCTCCTTTCCCCGTCAGGCCGCTCGCTGCAGAATTAGACAGAAAGAAAGCCGTGCATGGATTTGCATTTGGAGAGCTAAGGTTTACGGTTGGCTATGGTGATGCAAAGTTTCTGGATTTCCTTGAAGATTGGACTTTGAAAGACAACAAGTTCTGCCAGGGAGAGACAGCCTGTGATGTCTTCATATCGCCATCTTTCAGTGGGCAGAACTCAACAGTCTTGATCACTGCAAAAGCCAGCTGCACAAAACTGCATCAGCAACAGCTCTTTCTGTGCCCCAAGACTGGGACGCCAAGACTGAGCACGCCCTGCATAGTTCCCTCCTCAGTGAAAGACCGAGACTCAAAAATCTGCTCACCAAGATCAAGAAGACCAAGACTCGTAACGTGCAGTTCGCACTGTGGGATGAAACCGGCCGTTTTTGGGGCGCAGGCTGTTTTGTTGGAAATGGTGACCCCAAAAAATGAGAACTACCAGAACAGGGGGGTCCAACCCTGTTTTTGCCTTGTTTGGGGGGGCTTGGGGTGGGTACAAGCTGTGCTGCGTGCCCACATATGGGAGCGATGAAATGATTCTAAGAGCTCTGGAAAAAATGTAAAACATGGAAAACAAAGACTCTTAAGAAGAAAAAACAAACAATTGGTGGTGAGCAGACACGTTGATTGTGGAGACTGGGGAACAAAAGCAGATTAGTGTCCACGCGTTATGTTCCCAAGGATCATGCAGCAAGGTCTGTGAAAGCCCTGTGTTCAAGTAATTCTGGTGTTCAACTGTAGCTCGCAAACAATGTGGCAACTCAAAAGACTTGTTGTTGCAAATGTTTTGGCGCGTGTTGCAACCCGTGTGCCCAATGCTTGGGATGTGTTTGTGGAGGAACACAAAAGCCCAGGCCAGCTTTTATTTGAAGAAACACGCGTGTATGAATGGGTATGAAAAAACTTTTGGATTTGCCTGGATCACTAAAGTCTTGAATTATAGGCGCAATCAATCCTGGTTGAATCAACGCAATAAGCGTTTATTGGTAGGATTTGCCTGTGCCCTTCTGCCTTTGGCTGTTGCGAAATCGCCAGGTTCAGTAGTTGGATCACACACAAATTTTAAGCGCGTAGCCGCGTAGCACGGTCTATAACGTTAAAGTTTGTGAGTGATTGCTTTGTCGATTTGTCGATTTGACCTGAGTGATTGCTTTGTCGATTTGACCTGAATGATTACTTTGTCAACCTCAGCCCGCTTCGCCGCTTCCCGTCTATCATATTCAGTTTGATGTGGCAGGATGGCCTCCGTTTTGGCCGGTGTGGAAGAGATGTCAGGGTTACCAATAGGCAAAGAAAGCAGAATCACTTAGGCAAGTGGCAATGAAAACTAACCATCAGTTCATAGAGCTACGGGGCTATGAACCACTAAAGAACTTGTAGTTCTATTCTTGCAGGCTCAGGTTTGGCCATATTATGGCTAAGAAGATGCCACCATGCCACCTCGTTAAGTGCTCCTACTAGAGGTCTGAAGGTGAAATAGATGTAAAGAATAGTGGATGGGACTATTAACCATTGAGGGGTGGTGCCACGCTGGCCACTGCCATGTTTGCGTGTGATGGTAATGATTGTGAGAACGTGAACGATGAGAATGCCAATCCCAACATTCCCAAGATTGAGCCAGTTTCCAAAGATGCTCCGGTAGATGTATTGCCGGCTATGACTTTGTTGAAGTTGAAGCAAAGCTGTTGCCTGTGGACAGAGCAGCGTGGCAATAGTTTGGTAGTGGTGAACAGACTCTCTATGCTTCAGCTGGCCCAACTCTTCACCAGCAGGAGCATTCAAGTGAAACAATTGAAGAAATGTTTGGAGGCAACTCATGAAGTATTACCAGGATGGTTTGCGCTCTCGGTGTTGCTAGATGCTGTTCCTCAGCTTGGTGGGCCTGATGTCACCCGCGCTGATAGGTTCAAGCTTGAAACTTGGCTGAGAACTGTGCGCAGGCCAGTGCCACACCGCCCGCCATTGTCAAGGGGGGCGCCTCCATTTTCCAGCAGGGCAAACAACGTAGATGATGGGATAGGTAGCGCAGAAGACTCCCAGCATTCTGGCAGATCAAGATCCCCCGCTTCACAAAGATCTCATGTCTCTTCGTGCCCCTGCTCCGCGGAGACGCTCAGCACAAAAGCCTCTGAGACAATACTCCGCCAACAGCAACTTCAGATCAGCTTGTTGCAGAAACTGGCGCAGGAACTCCAAAATGATTGCTCTAGCAAAGATCAGAAGCTGAGGCAATGCAAACAGCAACTCAAACGTTCTGAAGATAAAAACATTTGGTTGCAGGAACAACTGGATGAAGTCAAGGCGAAGAAGATGAAACGCCTTGCTATTGAGCGCCATGAAGACAAACGGGCAGCCCAAGCTGGACAACCTGTCACTGAAGGCGAGAGCAGTGGGTGGCTCACACCCGAAGGCTGCATAAGCCTTGCCATTCAGAGGAATCTGAGCAATATAGCAACAGCTGACATCGGTCTTACTCTCATGGTTACATTGTCCAGGTGGACTGTAGCAAGAGCAGAAGTACGCACAGGGGCTTGTCTCATCGCATCCTCTCGCTTGTTTTGGCAGTGTGGTTCCAGGAATTGGCAAACGCAAAGCCAAGCTCCTTTGCCTTGACCGTTGTGTCCTACCGGCAGGACGCGACAAATTCAAGCGTGTGGAACCGGTCGAAGTTGACCGCGCTGGAAGCTGAATGTTGCTACGCTGTTGGGCTTGAGGAACAGGATTTGTTTGACCGTGGTAACATTGGGGCTGTTCAAGAGTATGCTGATCAAGCCTTTTCAACCATCAAGCGGTTGTCAGACGTCTTACCCGTTGCTGACGGCAGTGGTAGAGGAACAGTGGCCCTCACTTTGAAAATGCTCTCAGCCCTTGGAGTTCCAACTTGGTACGATTGGCAAGAGCTTTTAAATTCGAAGAACAGGCTGCCAAAGAATGGAGTGATATGGTTTTGCTGCACCACAGACCGTGGGTCTAATGAGAGTCAGGCAAGAAAACATATTCTTCAGCAAACAGCTGATATGGAACGATGCCTCTTCCTAGACGGAGATTGTTTCGAACATCAGTGCCACCTGGG